GGCCCTCCCACGCTCCAGAGCAAGCACGACCCCGAAATTGTCAATCAAGTACAACCTCCTGGAGCAGTGCCGCCCTGGATCTCTCGCATCACGGCGCAAAGCCCACACAGCGGCCCGTCCCTCCTTGACCCCGATGTGCTCGGCATATCTGAAGGGCGCAGCGTACGCGACACGAAACTGAGCTCCAAGGACTTCAGACGGGACCTCGGGAAAACCGACAGCGTGCTTCCAACCACGCTCCGACGGGTTCTCCCAGGCAGTGTGTGGCACGGTGATTTCGTCCAGGCCGTCGAGGGCCCGGGCCCGGGGGGCCCACTCAGAAGGTTCCAAGCGACGATACCTCCACCTCTCCCGCCATCTCCCAACATCCGCTACGACTTCCTTGGGCAGCCTGGCCTCGGTTACTCCCATCCCGGTGGTGGACGCGTCGGTAGCGATGACCTCACTCGCCCACGGCAGAGACAGGGGAGACTGCAGATGGATGCAAAGGGTCGCCATAAGCCAACACTCGTAACGACAACTTCTCCAGAGCACCTTCGGCCTGTCGTAAGAAGCCCGGACAAACTCGTACACCGCACGCATGATCGAAAAGCCTGGACGGCAGAAGAGACAGGCAGCAACATAATGTCCCAAGATAACCTCCAGCTGTCGGCCACTTACGTACGGGCCCGTTGCGAGCCAGAACAGAGCTTTCCTGGCCACCAGCAGCTTTTTTAGAGAGCGGCGGGTGAGGGGGCCCGGCCCTCCGACGTCAGCTCCCAGGACGACGCCCTCGGACGACGCCTCGGAGATATCATGCGTGGCGAAACCCTCCGCCTCGAACTGGGCGACGATGCGATCAAGCGTTGCTAACGCGGGCCCCGGCTCCAGACCGAACACATTCACGTTGCCCGAGTACGGGGCCTCGATTGGGCCCTCGACGACCGACGGAAGAGGCCAGGATCCAGTAGCAACCATGGTAGAAGGGACCCCAGACCTCCGCACCACCTCGAGGTGAAGACGTTGGACGAACCAGAAGGCCCAGGACCAACCCATCGGAAGCACCTGCATCGCCGGGTACACGAAGTCGCTCGTGCAACCCAGGTCCTTCACGGGGATACCAGCGCGGTGAGCCTCGGCCCGAGTCACCTTAGGGAGGCAGAAGTACTGGCATAGATCTCCTATATCTCCGCACTGATAGAACGCACACTGGATATCAGCACATGCGCTGTACAACTGCCTGCCCTCGGGGACCTCCAACGAGTTGAGGCTCTCCGCCGCAGCTATCTCCGCGAAGGGAGAATGTTTAAAAAACTGGTTAGATTCACGACAGTCTAACACGAGCCGAATCTTGTCGGTCTTTTTTGATACGAAAAACGGGGTGACAGAGGCTTTCTTAGTCCTAGTGGAGGTGAGCACATGGCAGCTCGCGAGCTGCCCCAAAAACTGCACATACTGGGCCCGATCATTTTTAAGCACAGCGTCCATGCACGGTCGGACCGGGCCCCCCTCCCGACGGGCCTGACGAACCTCAGGCTCGGCCAGGGGGCTCTCAAAGTTAGCAAGCGCGTGCGCGGCATCAGGGTCGAGAACGCCCTGAAGGCTGACCGGCTGTCGTCCTGCGGGGGGCAAAGACAGGGCGTCGGCGCGGTGCGGGGCGACCGTCGTCACCGACCCCTGATAATCGAGGCGCGATCCCAGAAGCTCACTGGCAGCTTCACGGGGGCTCATGTTAAATAAGTCTGGAAAAACTTGTCGGGCAGAGCGAGCGGAACGGAGCAACCTCCGTTGTGCCAGCCTCTGCGCCTCGGTGGGCGCGGTAACTGACGAGCGCTCACAGCCGTACAGAGCATTGAGGCCCATCAGCGAGTCGTTCACGTCACTCAGCACGTCCCGACGGATGCATCTCCTTCGTTGCCCGGTGCGGGCGCGGCCGGAGCCGCCAAAATCGGCCTCCTGCGGGTCGAGCAGCGGGAGGGGGAAGAGATCGTCCAGGCAGCCGGGCGGCCTCGGAAGTCCCGGCGGCGGCCTGATGCCGGGCGGCTGTGCGTCCGGCCAGCCCCAAGGCGGGGCCACTCCCTCCTCCGAAACGAGCTGGTCTTTCAAAGCCGCGGCGGCGCTGCCAGCAAGGGCGCCGTCGTGGTTCAAGTCGGTCATGATTTCCCGCCACCTCCAGGAGGTGGCTTCTTCGCTTCTCGTGCTTTGCGTCTCTCCTTCTCGATGGCCGCCTCCTTGCCGAACTCGCCGGCCACGTGCGAGCGGAGGCTCGGGGCGACGAGTGTGCCCGCTCCATCGTCATCCTCGCCCATGAAGTGGTGGGCGCCCTCGAAGTTGCCCTTGTCCGGGTCGGACTTGTGGGCCTCCTCCAACAACTGGCGGCGCCTGTTGAGGTACTCCATGCAGGTGAGGTTCGCCAGGTTCATGCCGTCCACCGCCTGTCCGAGCTCGAGCGCCTTCGAGACCACTCGATGTTCGCGGGCCGAGCGGCTGGCTGCGGGCACCTTGCTCTCGACCAGCCAACGCTCGTGGGAGGACATGAAGCCCCCCGGACTCCGCGCCATCAGCGCGGTCACCGAGTCCCCCATGGTCGGCGGCCCCTTCAGGTGGATCTCGACCCGGGGGTCCTTGTGCAGCCACGCCGCGTCGCGGGTGAATGGGACTGGCCCCGCAGGTTGCCGCCGGGGCAGCAGGCGCGGCTCGCCCTGCATCAGGAAGAGCTGCCGCTCCGCCGCCCACTCGTCGAGTTTCGTGTCCGCCTGGACGAAGCAGCCCGTGGTGATAGCCCCGCCCACCGAGACAAACGCGTGGCCCCCGAAGTCCAGCCCGCCCGCAGGGAAGAGGAACTCCTGCCCGATCGCGTGCGAGGGGCCGGGGACGTCGAAGACCCAGCTGCCAGCGGCCGGCGCCACCCTCGGGGCGGGCGGAGGCGGCGGGGGCGCGCCGGCAGCCGCCGGGGGCGGCGCGACCGGCAGCGGGATCGGCACCACCGCCGGGGCAACGCCGCCCGGGCCGCCGGCCATGCCCGCGCCGGGCGGCTGCGCCAAGCCCCTCGCCTGGCGCTCCACGCGAGCGTGCGAAGCCCCCTCGTTGAGCAGCGCCGTCAGCTCGGCCCCAGCAGGCTGCGCCGCGAAGCGGTAGAGCGGCGCCCCCGCGAGCCCAGCGGGCAAGCCCCCCGACGATGGCGAAGAACGGATACCTGACAGGTCCGCGTTCGCCGAGTCGAGCTGCTCTATGAAGACATCCCCATCTGGGGTCATCACAATGTACTCCGATGCAGTGACCCAGCCCAAGATCAGGCGCTCATGCCAGAGCCCGTTGTCGGCCGGGTCATTGTACTGCACGAACGCATAGGCCCCAGGCGCGAGCGACGACATGCCGCTGTCCGCGCGGGCCGCGGCCTCAGCCGAACGTCAGCACCCCGGCCCCGCGGTGCGAGGCCCGGCCCCGAAGCGCCGCCGCACCCGGCAGCGCCGCTGGAGCCCTCGGCTCCGGGGCAGCGGCCAGCGCCGGCGCCGGCACGAACGACGCGGGCCCGTCCGCGAGGCCCAACGGCGGGCTCGGCCCGACGGCGCGAGCCGGACGGGCCCCCTCGCGGCGGCCCCTGCTGCGCCCAGCGAACAGCGCCGCGAGCGCGGTGGTGGCGACGCCCGCCACGAAGCCGCCCAGCCCAGCAGGCCAAAGCGGCAGGCAAGGGGGAGGCCCTGGGCACTGCGGGCACGTCGGGCACTGCGGGCACAGGTGCTCGGGCCCGCACCTGTCGAGCTGCTTCTCGAGCAGCTTCAAGGCCCCGTCGTCGGAGCTGGTGTGGCAGGCGCACGCACACTCACAGTGGCATGCGCGAGCGGCCCCCCCCAGCCAACTGCCCGCGAAACTGGCGGACGCTACTTGGGCGAGCGGGCCAAGCATCACAACCGTCTTCAAGTTTTTGGCAGAGCCCAACAACGGCAGCGGAACGGAGACACTCGAGAACACATTATCCAGCACGCAGGGCCATGAGATTTATAATACTAATAATAATACTAATAATAATAGTAATGCCAATAATAAAAAATAATGATAAGAATAATACTAATATAACTACTAATAATAGTAATACTGATAATACGATTAATAATAATACTGATAATGATACAAAGAATAATAACAATACTACTAACCATAACAATAATAATACTAATCATAATAATAATAGTAGTGCTACTAATCATAACAAGAATGGGAATAATACTAATATTAAGAATAATAATAATAAGAATAATAAGAGTAATAATAATAATAATGAGCATAATAATAATAATAATAATAATAATGATCATGATAAAAACAAAAAAAAACACACACAAACGCGCGGAGCGCCCACAAAGTAGTGTCATGCAATTTCTCTTCTTCCTCGAATGATGGCCCGAGGGGGGGCCCGGAGCTGGGCGCACACGCCCGGTGTGCGGCGCCCACCCCCACGCGGCAGAGGCACGCCCCCTGCGCCTCTCCCGCGCGCCGCCGACCGGGCGCCTGCGTCCGCGGCGCTGGGCCGAGGCGGCCGGGCTCGTCCTCCTCCTCCTCCTCCTCCTCCTCCTCCTCCTACCTCCTACCTCCTACCTCCTACCTCCTCCTCCTCCTCCTCCTCCTCCTCCTCCTCCTCCTCCTCCTCCTCCTACACAAGGGGCTCCTCCTGCCCTCGCAGAGCGGCTCGGCTCCGGGGGGGGGAGGCGGGGGGGGGCCCTGCAGTTGAGCAGAGACCGACCGTCCCGGCATTCCTGCAGGCCTGCCCCTCCATCTTCTTAGAATCCACCAGAAAGGTCTAAGACTAAACACGATGTTCTTAGAACATAAGCCCACTGTGTTAAAACAAGACAGTCCGAGCCAGAAATGTTCAAATAATATTTCGAGGAAACCACAACAGGTTCTTAGAATATTCCTTGGCGGGCGTTGGGCAAACCAGGACGCTTCGCCACTGCTGGATGCAGGGGAGAGAACCTCCGTCCGGCAAGGCCGAGCCGAGCTTGGCGTTGCTCCTGGGAGGCGCCCGGGTCTGCCGGCCTCACCTGTCGAGGAGCAGAGGGTGGCAAAAGCATCAACTTTCCAAGGTCCGCGCGGACTTCTTGGACCTGAGCTGGACCGCTCTCCCTGGCGCGCGGAGCGCGCCGGGGGCGGCGCCGGAGGCACTGCCAGGGGGCTCCAGCGCAAATCCGAGAAATCCGCGCGGACCATCTCCAAGTTTTTGTTTATGTCATCATGTGCTCCGAGAGCCTGATCGGCCGAGAGCCAGGCCACGTCAAACAGGGTGCCGGCGTCGTCCATCCAGCGGTGGCGGGACGGCGCCAGCGCCTGCAGCGACGGGATCAGTGGCGGAGAAGTGGACTGAGCAAAGAAGATCGCAAGCAACGTGTAGGCGTACCCTCCCGGATATAGAAGAACAAACAACTGCATGAACATACGCTTTCGGAGCTCCGCGCCGACTTCGGCGGTGGACAAACCTTTCTTTAGTAGACCTCCCCTTAGTGAAAACGGCCTGGGAGCGAAACCGACGGACCTGGACCCGCAAACATGACGGCCGCGACGCCCTCTCGCGAAGCGAAAAAGGCCAATTCCTCAATCGATGTGTCAGGGTAGGAGGTCTGTCCACCTCCGACGACTTCTTGGATTGGCGCGAGGCCCCCCTGGCGGTGGCGGCGCCTCCGCGGCCGTCCCACCGATCCACGCCCTCCGCGCGGAGCTCCGACAGCTCATGCTGATGCTGCTTTTTGTTCTCCCGGGGTAGCCGCAAGTCTGCCCGAACACTCCTCGCCGCCTCGCCCAGTGCTTCACGATGCGCACGAGGCCGCAGAGGCGCGGGTCGAGGGAGGCGTACTCCCGCAGGAGCCCGCTCTTGTGCACGCCTGTCGGCTACGCGAAGAAGTGGCCCGGGGCAAGAGTGACCCTCTGGTGCGCGGACCAAGCGGCGCGCAAGGTGGCCAGATCCCAGCCCGCGAGCAGCCGCTGTCGCACCGCGCTTCGCGATCGGGGGGGCCCCGATGAGCCCGCACCAGAGGTCACTCTGGCGAAGGGCCACTTTTGCGTGCCGCCGAGCCCAGCATGTTGCGCACGGTGATGTCCACGGTCCTGCCGCCTCCTGGCCCCCAGCGCACCGTCAGCACCGGCACCCTGCCGCCAAGGCCGACGGTGCTCACCTTGGGCGGCGCGCGCAAGGTGGTATAGGGGGAGGGGGAAAGCTTCTTAGAAGGGGGCTGCCTCTTAGAAGGCGCCGGCCTTACACGTATCGAGAGGGCCCGCGCCTTCTAAGAAGCAGGGACGATTCCAAGAAGCCTCCCCCCCTCCCCCTACCCTGAAGTTTGGCCTGTCCCCCTACAGGGGGATTTGGGACGAAAACCCATAAGACGGCGTCAGGCAGAAAATAGCCGAACGGCAAATATTGTCGGATCCGGCAGTTTTCGTCAAACAGATGGATTCGACCGAATATTATGTCGAATCATCCGGCCCAAGATAACCTAATCTATGCGATTCCTCCAACGTGACAAAATCAAGTTTTGATCAAGTTTTGACACACATTTGACTTCGGACACATCCAACGAGCAAGTTTTGATCAAGTTTTGCTTGCAACTTGCTTTCCAAGAGCCCGAACATCAAATTTCGAGCAAATTTGCTTGAAACTCGACTTTTGACAACCTTGCAAATAGTCTAACAAATAATCTAACAAACAAGCGCATCACAACCCAACAAACAATCGGATCCGGTCAAGCCGAACCCTCCAGCACAATCTGCCGAATCCGGCAAACATTGCCCTCCGTGTATCTTTAATATGATCGTGGCTTAAGGGAAATGAGAAATACACGGCAACATATGCCCAAAGATACTCAAGCAAAAATCCCTGGACTCTTTTTGACTGTTTTCGAATATTCCCCCTGTAGAGTGACAGGCCCGACCTAACCTTACACGCATCGAGAAGGCCCGCGCCTTCCAAGAAGCAGGGGCGATCCCAAGAAGCCTATACCCCCCTCCCCCCGCCCCCCCTCTGCGCGTGGCGCCGACACCTGCCACCCGCGCCCCAGGAGGTGGCGGCGCCACTCGAGGAGCGCCCGCTGCTGCAGGTGCCTCAGACCCTCGGCCGTGCACGCGCCGCCCCCGGGCCTCGCCGACCCCTCGAGCGGCACCATCACGGTGACGTCCACGTCCCCGCCCCGGCCGGCGAAGCCGCCGACGCTGGAGCCGTACGGGAGCACCTGCGCCCCCCGCCACGCGGCGGGCAGTGCGCGGCGGAGGCCGTCGAGGAGGCCGCGCACCGCCCGGAGCTCCGCGGCGGCGTCGGGGGGGGCCAGGCGAGACGCCACCGCCCGCGCGGCGGCGTCCGCCTCTGGGCACAGCCACGCCGCGTCGGGCGCGGGGCCCGCCAGCAGCGCGGCGCCGGCCAGGCCCTCGGCGGGGACGGCCACCACGGCTCGGGCCGTCGAGGGCTGTGCGGGGGTGCCCTCGCGGGCGTGGCTGTGGTCCAGCAGCCTCTCCAGCCGGTCCGCTATGGCCTCGCGCATGTCGATGGTCACCGCGTCTGGCCGGGCGCTCCGGAACATGCTCGTGGAAGCCCGTCGAGGGTCCGCCTCCATGTGCGCCACGTCGTCTGCGGGGAAGTGGTGCACCAGCGCACCTATTGCGCGCTCGTACTCCTTCGCGTGGACGAGAGCCCGAATGAGAGCATTGCAGGTTGCTGTAGTCTTGGTGATGCCGAGCCGCCCCATGTCGTAGACGAGCCCGAGGGCCTCCTGCCAGCGCGCACTGTTGGCGAAAACTCCGAGGGAGCTGTTGGCGGCAATTGTGTCCAGGGGTACGCCGTCCCGCCGCATTGCCTGCAACAGCTCCAGGGCATCTGCCCATCGCTCAGCCTTGCCGTACGCACACATGACGTTTCCCAAGACCACTACGTCGCGCTCGACCCTCAGCTCGCACATGCTGTTGAACAGGCTCAGTGACTGGGTCCAGCTGCTGGCCCTCTCACAGGCCGCGATCACGACGCTGTAGCACACCGAGTCTTGGGAGATGCGGTGGCTGGGCATCGAGCCTGAGCGGCGCAGGGGCAGGCAGCGAGAGGGGCCAGCTGTTTTTTCTTTGCGAGGCTGTGCTGGCGGCTGTGCCTTCACATGGGCTGCCAACGCGGCAAGCAGTGAAGGCTCTTAGAGAAGACCTGCCCCCGCCTCTCTGCCAGGAGAACCCAGAATCGAATCGATCCGTCGGATCGGCGATAGAAATGAATCGGCTCGGCGGAAATCGGCAACCAAGTCGGGAGAAGTCGATTCGGCGGAGATCGGCAGGCTAGCTGGCCTCTACCGTCGGGGCGTTGACCTAAGGAACCCTAAATATGGAACGAGGCCCCTTTTTTCCGTAAGTGAACCTTCGATTTCCTGTCGGAAACATAAGGAAAGCCTGAGGCAAGCTGTGAAACACTTAAGGAACGCGGAGCCCCTCCCCAACGAAAAGGGTGCCCCGACTGTATTGAGGAAGCGGCATCCGAATCGGACAATCGGAAGTCGAACCGAATCGGCATCGGAGGCCACCGACCTCGGATCGACTCGCATCTCGGAGGACTCCAGACGCGCCCTGCCCTCTGCCCCCCGCCCCCGAGCGCCGAAGAGCTCCAGGACGCAGCGCCAGTCGCCCGACTTGGCGACCGCGCTCATCACGGTGCTGTACGTCACCGCGTTCGCCGCGACGCGGGCCTCCCCCATGCCCTGCAGGCAGGCCCGCGCGCGGTCGGACTCTGCGGCCCTGTCGCAGGCCGAGATCAGGGCGTTGAAGGTGACGGCGTCCGGCGCCGCCCGCGCCTGGCGCACGCGCTCCGGCGGCGACTCACGGGAGCCTCCCGTGCCATCCTGCTGGCCATCGCTCGGACGTCCATCCCCTGTGTTTTTTTTTTCTCGGTTTCGTGCGCGGCTTTTTCGCCACATGATCCAGGATGCTCCTCGATGGTCCTCGCCGAAAGAAAAAAAACACACGTCCGAGCGATGCCGAGCCTGTCGGCTCTTGCGAATCGACGCTGCGTCGAGGCCACATCGGCGCCAGAGCGATGCCAAATCGACGCTGGCCGACGGCAGATCGGCCCCATCTCATGGACTCCCGGACTCCCCAAAGTTGGGTCGGGCGTGTCCTCCTGCAGGCGGATTCTGGAGGAAACGTAGGACATAACCCCAAAAATGCTCAAACAGATGGTCAACAATAATGGGAACCTCGTGCCCAGACTTGTTTTTTCTACTATTCTTGAACTTGCCATCGCTCGGAAGTCCATTCCCCGTGGATTTATCGGTATTGTGCGTGTTTTTTTGTGCTCGATGGTCCAGGATGGTCCTCGATGGTTCTCGCCGAGAAAAAATGCACACGTCCGAGCGATGCCAAGTGAACCTTCCTCCTGTGGAGGGACCGGCCCGACGGCGCGCGAAAGGCAGAGCTGCGAGGGCACGCCAGGCCCCCACATGACTCGCAGCCGGCCCTGTTCTGCAGGAGGCCCAGCGCCGGCAGCCAGGCGCCCACGGAGGCGCAGGCGCTGATCGCGATGTTCGGGCGTTCACGAACAGGGGGGGGCGCGCGATCGAAGGGGGCGCGCGTTCACTAACGGGGGGGGCGCGTTCACTAACGGGGGGGGCGCGTTCACTAACGGGGGCGCGTTCACTAACGGCGGGGGGGCGCGTTCACTAACGGGGGGGGGCGCGTTCACTAACGGGGGGGGCAATCTCCGGGCGTTCACTAACGGGGGGGGTAAGAAAGGTGCACCTCTCGTACCCCCTTTCGGCCCCCCAGGGGGCTCGTGTAGGGCCCCCTGTGGGGCCCCTTTCATGCAACCCTCGGCGTCCCCCCTCAGGTATCGGGCCGGGCGAGAGGGGGGGATGGCAAACGGGGGGTTTGAGAATCAGCTCACGTAGCTGTTTTTCCTGGCGCCTCCCGGCGCTGGAGGCGGCCATGCATCAAGGAATGGGCCCCTCGGGGGGGCCGAGACCAGCTCCACGCAGCAAATTTCGTACCCCCCTCTTTCCCTAACCCCCCCTTTCGTTTGACCCGAATGTACCGCCCCCCCTTGCGGCGGTGGACAAACCTCCCTTCAGCAAATCTCCCCTTAGTGAAAACGGCCTGGGATCGAAACCCACGGACCTGGACCCGCAAAAATGACGGCCGCGACGCCCTCTCGCGAACCGAAAAAGGCCAATTCCTTAATCGACGTGTCAGGGAACGGGCTTCTCACCCCACGCCCAGCCCCTTATGTTGTCTCCCCTGGCCCACTTAGCCGACCCAGGCTAAGTGGTTCAGTTGGGGCGCTAACCCATTTAGCCCACTTAGGCCAAGTCCTTGCTAACCTACTTAGGCTAAGTCCTTAGAACCCAGTTCGCTGAGTGGCCTAAGTGGGCGGCTAACCACTCAGAAGTGGTCTAACCCCTAAGTAAGCGGCCGCCGCCGATCTCAGTAGGATTTGGAGTCCCGAAACGGTGCGGTGACAGACCGCGCGGTGACCTCGGAACCCCAAGGGGTCTCACCGCACGGTCTGTCACCGCACGGTCTTGGGACCCCGGAGGCCCCTGTCGCCCGAGACGTCCTCGGAGAGGGACTCGAGTCCCAAAACCGTGCGGTGACCCCGAATCCCCACCGACTCACCGCACGGTGTGGTCACCACCCCGTTTGGGGGCCCCCGATATCGGGAGCGGCCAAGAGGGGGGTTTCCAGGAGGGGGGGGTGCAAATCATGACCGGCGGCACGTGCGCGGCCCAGCGGGGGGGCCAGGGACGTAATTAAATAAGAAGGGGCGCCATGAAATCTGGGGAAATATCATGGCCCACGCCATGATATCCGCCCCCCCCTAGTCATCACCCCCCTCTTTTCCGCCCCCGACGATAGGAGGTCCATCCACCTCCCCCCCCTTTTGGGCGCCCGAGTTATCCGGGGTAACTCGGGTCCGGGGTAACTCGGGTTTGGATTCCCGAAAAAGGAACCCGAGTTAACCCTGACCCGAGTTACCCCTGATGATTCGGGGCTCTGGACGCCCGAAATATCCGGGGTAACTCGGGTCCGGGATAACTCGGGTTCGGAATCCCGAAAAGCGAACCCGAGTTAGCCCTGACCCGAGTTACCCCTGATGATTCGGGGCTCTGAAGGAGGTCCGTCCACCTCCCCCCCCTTCCCGAACGCCCGGGATGTTGAAGTTCACGACGTCTGGCCGGACGCCGTCCCCGGCCATCTCGCGGAGCAGGCCGACGGCGCGCGCCCAGTGCCCGGCGGCCCGCAGCGCGCCCATGGCAGCTCCACGGCGGTTCCAGGCCCCCCTCCTCCTCCTCCTCCCTCCCTCCTCCTCCTCCTCCCCTCCTCCTCCTCCTCCTCCTCCTCCTCCTCCTCCTCCTCCTCCTCCTCGTCCTCCTCCTGCTCCTCCCTCCTCCTCCTCCTTCTCCTCCTGCTGCTCCTCCTCCTCCTCCTCCAGAAATAGTCCCCAGACTATGGTTGGACTATTGTTGAATATTCCCCCTGTAGAGGGACAGACCCGACTTAAAGTTAAGTCGGGCGTGTCCCCCTACAGGGGGATTGTGGACGAAACATACAAGGTACTCAAACACATGCCCCCCAAAGTGAGCAAGAATGGCGAGAACCTCGTCCCCAGACAAGTGTTTCCCTATTTTTGAAGGCTCCCCTGTAGAGGACACGCCCGACTCAACCCTGGAGCACACAAAAACAAGAGGCACAGATCCCAGGCTTCCTGATAGCTTCGCAGTCTGGTCTGGGGGGTTTTCGTCGTCCCACCCCACCCCCCCACACTTCCCAGATTTCCCTATCTTTTCCCTGGGGAATCGACGACTCATCGTGTCTGCGTTTGGACGCCCGAGTTATCCGGGGTAACTCGGGTCCGGGATAACTCGGGTTTTGGTCCCCGAAAAACGAACCCGAGTTAGCCCTGACCCGAGTTACCCCTGATGATTCGGAGCTCTGGACGCCCGAGTTATCCGGGGTAACTCGGGTCCGGGATAACTCGGGTTCGGAATCCCGAAAAACGAACCCGAGTTAGCCCTGACCCGAGTTACCCCTGATGATTCGGAGCTCTGGACGCCCGAATTACCCGGGATAACTCGGGTTCGGGCTCCCGAACCACGAACCCGAGTTATCCCTGACCCGAGTTACCCCTGATGATTCGGGGCTCTGATGCGCACTCCTCGTCAAGCAGCCTGACCAGTACAGGCCGCAATTTGGCATCGTTTGGTATCTCTTGGAAGCGAGGGTGGTCAAAAGCGAGGTAGGTTTGTTTTCCCCCGATTTTCCCTGGGGAATCGACGACTCATCGTGTCTGCGTGTTTTCTCCCCCATCCTGGATGGACCTGGGGGAGTCCCCCCGAGCCCTCCGCGCGGGCGGCACATCGCCGACGCGCCGCCGGCCCCTGGGCACACTGGCGGCGAGGGGGTGCACCTGGGAAGAGCTTGCCTCTGTAAAGAGGCCCTGGGACACACAAATAAATACACACAAATAAAAAGATTCCCCATATTTTCCTATATTTTCTGGGTTTTTGTCCTCCCCACCACTTCCCATATTTTCGCATATTTTCCTGGGAATCGACGATTAATTGTGTCTGTGTGTTTCTTCCCCTCCTGACTCTGTCTCGCGAGCCGCTCTTCTTGGACGGCCCGGCCCCGAGACGAGGCGGAGGGGACACCCCATGCTGAAAACAAGAGAAACCCGAGGGCCCCCTCTCCCTCTCGGGTCGGGCGAAAGGGGGGGATAGCAAAGGGGGGGTTTGAGAATCAGCTTACGTAGCTGATTTTCCCGGCGCCTCCCGGCGCCGGAAGCGGCTATGTATCGAGGAATGGGCCCCTCGGTGAGGCCGAAACCAGCTGCATGCAGCAAATTTCGTAACCCCCCCTTTCCCAATCCCCCCCTTTTGCCCGGCCCGACCCTCGGGCCCCTCGGCGCTTCACGGAGGCATGGGGCGCCTGGAGCCGGGCGGCCGGAGACGCACCACGGCACCCGACGCCACGCCTTCCGCCCCCGAGGCCCTCCGCGGCGCCCGTGGGCGGGCGAGCACATCCGCCCTCGCTCCCTCGCGGCCTGGCCTTCCGGGGCGCGGCCCCGCGGGTGCGCGGGCGCACGGGCACGCCCCGCGCGGGGCACGCCCCGCATCCGCGGGGGGTCGCGGCCCGGGGGCCTGGCCCGCGAGGCCGCGGGCGCGGATGTGCCGTTCGCCCACGAGGCGAAGCCCTGCAGCGCTCCGCCTCGTGGAGGCGGGGGTGAAGGTGCGCGCCCAGCCGCCCAGGCATAAGCACCCGAGCTGCGCCGCACGGCCCGGGCCGACATCTGGGTCAGGACGCACAGGGCCGCCTCCGCGGAGGGGGAAGCACGAGACCCTCCCGGAGAGGCCTCCTCGCTGGCGGCCGAGCAGGCGGGGTCGGAGGACCGGGCCGCATCGCCGCTGCAGCTGCGACGCGCGGCGTCGCCGATGCATCGGCGTGGGGAGGGATCGGGCTCCACGTCGTGCCGCATCGCCGAAGCATCGGCGATGCGGCGACATCTCCCGACCCCCTCCACAGAGATCCTGTGTCGTGATTTTCTTGAATGCGGGGTTCCTGGAAGGCTCGACCCATTGCGAAGGACCGGTGTCTCATCCCTGAGTCGTTTTCCGACGGTCCTGAGGACCAGCGAGAGCTTCCAGAGGCCGAAACCAGCGAACAAAAGCTCCGTTTCGATTTTATTCAATGCGCTGGATCTCTGGGTCTACTCGGACGCCATCTGGGAGTCCTAGGGCAAAGCACCCTGCGGTCCTGACGTCGCATCTCTTGTCGCCAGGCGTTTGTTTCGCCCCGCTTGGGGCCGTCGCGCCCTCGCGGACCGCGGTCCAGCTCGAGGCAGGCCAACAGAACCGGGGAGGGGAGGGCTCCGCTTGTATGTTGTTTTTTCGTTAGAAAGAGATCTCAACGTTGCTACCGTTCGCGACGTCGGGTCTCGGGGGGTACCAATACCGCTGCTCCTCAGACCTCTTCCGCGGCGCGCTCTGGCCAGGAATGAGCCAGGGGAGAGCTGGGCCGTGGCGACGGGGGTGCCCCTAAAGGCGCACGCTTGTGTCGCAGGGATGCGGGTCATACCGCGATCGGACTAGAACGGGCCGCGGACTAGAATCTAAAACTATGCACCTGTGCAATGGGACAAAGCAAAAACACGGCAGCGGAGGAGGATGAGGTGATCTTCACGTGAGGCGATGGCGGAATCAAGCTCCACGAAGGAGTCGTGCAAAACAAAAACTACACCTGAGCTGACAATTGATAACGGAGACGCGGAGACGAAGCATCGGTATGGGTCTGCTTCATCCTGTGAATATTTCCGCTCCGATGCCGTTTTTTTTAGCAAGGTGGCCCACAGGAGGACTTGTCTCTCGTCCCGAGCCGTCTCTTGACGGCCTGCGGGCCTGGCAGGGGCCCCTCGAGGCCGAAATGGACCGAACACCCACCCCTCGTGAGGAGTTGTGTCAAGGGTTATGTAGCTCCCATCGTACTTAAGGACCACATCCCAGAAATAATTTCGATCACCCAAAAAAATGTCGAAAGAATATCGAAGCAGTGTCGAAACCCTGTCCCCCAGGGCCCGACACGTGAAAACCCTCGAGTTGTTGTTGAGTGCTTTCCTGGCGCTCGACATCCCTTCCGGTGAGCAAGGCTAAAGTAGGCTCAAACATCATAACCCTGGGGAGGCGACGCACGCATAGCATGCACTTGCCCGCGTGACGCTGCAGTGGTGCGCATCCGACCCGGAGTCACTGTCTTTGACCGCCCCCCCGGGCGCGACAAGGACGGACCCCCGGGAGGCCGAGGCCGCGGCGAAGCGCCCGCCTGGAGGACAGCTCGGCTCGCCGGAGCTCTGGGAGAGGAGCGCGGCCCTCTCGTCCGCGCGCGCAAGGAGGACCCTGGGCTTGGGTCGGGCATGCCCCCCTACAGGCGGATTTTTGGCCGTAAGATCAAACATGTTCAAACATAGTCCCAAAATGGCAAACAAATGCCCAAACAATCGTCCTCAGACTAATGTTGGGCTAGTTTTGAACATCCGTCCTGTAGAGGGACAGGCCCGACGTAACCCTGGGCAGGAGTGGCGTCTGGTGTGCTGCGGTCTCGCGGGGGGGCGCGGGGAAGGGGGGGGGGGGGCAACCCAGAGCGCGCAGTCCGCGGCTGTCGGATCGCGTTCGGCCGCCTAGGGGCCCAACCGCGCCCGCGCCGCAGGCCCTCGGGCGAATGGTCGCTCTTGCGCGTGGCCGACACGGTGAGGCCTGGACGGAGGGACGGGCACCGGCATCGGCCTCTCGAGAGGCCGCCCGATGGGGTCCAGGCAGATGGGGCCGGAAGGTCGCGCGAGAGGGAGGACAAGCAAGGAGGAGGAGGAGGAGGAGGAGGAGGAGGAGAGGAGGAGGAGGAGAGAGAGGAGGAGGAGGAGGGAGGAGGAGGAGGAGGAGGAGGAGGAGGAGGAGGAGGAGGAGGAGGAGGAGGAGGAGGAGGGGGAAGGGGAGGAGGAGGGGGGGAGGACATGGAGGAGGAGGAGGACGACGACGACGCTCGTCGCAGGTGTCCTTGCCTCTTTCCAGGCCTCCCCAATTCGCCTGGGCCTCCCCGATGGGGTCCAAGCAGGTGGGGCCGGAAGATCGCGCGACGTCAGCGCGGGGAATATGGGGCTGCGCATCGAGACGCATCGCCGAGCCATCGGCGATGCGGTGTGATACTACGACCCCATCTGCTCGGACCCCATCTGGCATTGAAGGCGGCCGGGGGATCTAACCTGGTTGGGGCCCTGAAGAATCGGCCAGGAGGGACGATGAAGCAAAATCCGCTCAAGAACGGGCCGCGGACCCCTCCATGGGTCCATTTGGTGCGAATCTTTGTCCGACGGCACGGGAGCAGCAATAGTTGCACATACTGTGACTGTACTGATGGACGCTACCACGATTGGGAGCGAGACGGCCACGCCACACGAGACCGAAGCCTCGGGCGACACCGCCGAAACCCTCGAACAGAGTATGCACGTCTTGCTCGCCGCTGCAGCGCTTCCGAACTGGAGGGCTGCCTCTTGCCTTCAAAGGCCGTGCGCTGCAACGGTGCCGCACGCCATTGGCGGGCGGACAAGCATTGCACGTTGAAAGAGACCCTGAAACTGGCGTTCATTACGGATATGTTCCCTACGTTATGACAAGGCGGGGGAAGGTTAACGAGGAGAAGGACGCGGCCGGAGTCAAAACTGTGCACATCAGCCTGCCCCGCTGGGAACGTTGCTAAGGGGGTCGGCGGACCATCTCCGCAGGAGAATA